GTGAACTATTGACATTTTTAAAGATATAAGCTCACCCCGATGTTACAGTCATCGAGACTTTTCATTTGAGTACCCACATCATTTTTTCATATATTTATATATTTTATATATATGTATATATGAAAAATATATAAAAATGCATGTGGGTACTCAAATGAAAGCTGTTGATGAGTGTAACGTCGGGATGAGCTTATATCTTTAAAAACGTCAATAGTTAAGAAAGTACCGTGCAATTCAACAAAAGTCATTATTTAATAAAGCAAAATTTTATTTATTTATAGTTCACAAGTCATGGCTAGTTAATTTTATATTTATTATTCTCATTATTATTATCCTGTGAAAAAAAATAACAAATTTATCATTTTACTTTTTTCTTTAAAGATTTATTTTCATCTAAATAATAATGATAAAAATAATAATAATAATTATAATAATGTCAGAATCAAAAAATAATTCAAGGTTTGAAATAATAAAAATCTTAAGTTACATATGTGTATATGTAATGTAATATTTTGATATCTGTATGTACTCTAACAAGTAAGATATCAAAATATCATTTTTATTGATCTCAAATGCAGTCAGGGGTCAGTCGATCACCTTTTATTCTCGGTATCCATTTTAAAAAAAAAAAAAAATGCATTTGTTGATTTTAATTAATAATTATGTCGACCTAATTTCGTTTACCAGCGACATATTATTGTAAATATCACACATTCAGTTAAACTATACGTGTGTAAACTGCAAATCTCACTGATAAGTCTTAAATTTATATTGAATTGTTGCAAAATATTTAAATGTATCATCTCAGTGGACAAGATTATTGTTATCGAGACGAGCCCCATCCAAGTTTCGCCCAATAGCAATAATTTAGTGCAAGATTAAAAGTGAGTTAATAAAAATCAACCGATAAATAACATTTGTGTCCATTAGCTGTCATGGGGGGTCAAAATAAGACGTCAGCACTTTTACTTTAATTATAAAATGATAATAATAATAATCATCTAAAAAGTAGATAAATTGAATCACGAGTTAAAATATCGCTTGTTGTTACGCTGGACTTTATTCACTTCCGATTAGGGGAGTTTTTGTCTTGGTTTTATATTATTTGAGACGCCGCCGACACATTTCTTCTGGTTGTTTTTTGTTAGCCAAGTACTGGCTTGACTTCTGATAACCAGACCCTTATCTCGATAATATGGACCAAATACAATTTTATTTATTTTATTAAATTTCAATTTCCAAGATGAGATTTTCATTGGATTTGAAAATTTTCAATTTTTTTCAAGGTCTGTACGCACTTGGAGCTAAATAATTATTTTTTATTAATTTAATTTCAACAAATTCTTAAGTATATACAATTTAATGACAATCAAACAAGTATATTAAAAGTCATGTTTATAATTATAAATTTTAATGCAAAAATAATTTTTTTAGTAAACAAGATTTATTAAAAACGTTTGATAAAATTAAAATCAAATTTTTACTTAACTAAAAAATTGAGCGCACCTTGCGCGCTTTTGTCAAAATGTTTATTATCGACAATTTAATCAATCAATATTTTTACAAATTTTATTAATTAATATTTAACCGTTGCCAAAGTGGTAACCATAGCAAAGAAAAGCGACAATAATGAAAACGTCACATCAACTTTTTAATAAAGGATTTTCTGAACTATATTCTTCACAGTTAATTATTATAAGAAATTTAGACTTTAAATTTTTATTAAAAATTGTTAATTTTTTTTTTTTCAATCCTCTGCTTTTTTGAAAAAATTTATTTTTGATAAATCTTTCAATTAATCACTAGATAAAATCTCACATTAATAAATTTTTTAATTCTGACGATTTAAACTCCAGACATTGTGTTTCTTGCAAGACATTTTTTAGAAAAATAATTATTTAAAAAAAAAGGACTTTAATGATATTCAGTCACTTTTATATGCGTATCTATTTTATATCAATTATTGAAAAAATCTCTTAAAAAAAATTATTGTTTTTTCGCCTTTTTATTCTATATCGACGTTCTAATTAGCAAATTGTCTAACTCCATTTTCGAGAATCTTCCATTTGTACGATAATACAATTCAGCTGCCCAATTTCAAAACACAGTAACTGATAATTTAAAAATTTTTCTTATTAAGAAAGAGTTTGTGCGTCAAAATAATAAAAAATTTAATTTATGAATAGAAAATACTTGAATATAAATATTTTTACGAAAAAATACTTGAAATTAAAGTCTAAAAGTTATAAGAAATGCAGCAATACTAAAAAAAATCATGTATAAAAATTTTGTAATTACTGTGTTTTAAAATTAGGCAGCCGAATTAGTTCAAAATTTATTATCACTTTAAAAGACCATTTAATATTTAAAAGAGGTATAATATTTTGGTCAGGATCATTGAAATAATTTAAAAGCGGGCTATTACTACATTAAAATTTTAAAAAATCACCTTCTGAAAAATAAGGAATTAGACCAATTGCTAATTAGACCGTCGATATAATTTCTTGATAAATTTTTTTCAAACCAATTATTTAATACATTAATTTAAAATTCCATACTAATAAAAAAAAAAATTCCAGGTAGTCGCAGTCCACGTAGAACCCGATAAATTCGATGCATACTACAACGGGTCATGCAATGGAACCTTCTGGCCACTGTTCCACTCGATGCCAGACCGTGCGACTTTCAACGCGGAGCATTGGCGCGCATACGTCGCCGTGAATGAGGAATTCGCTGCAAAAACAGTGAAAGCACTGGAGCAGATCCACGAGGAGCAGAAGAGCAAGCCAAATGGAACTCCCTTGGTCTGGGTCCACGACTACCACCTGATGCTGGCGGCAAACTGGATCAGACAGGCAGCAGACGAGAAGAACTTGAAACTAAAACTTGGTTTCTTCCTGCACATCCCTTTCCCGCCGTGGGACATCTTCAGATTGTTCCCTTGGGCCGACGAAATCCTTCAGGGGATGCTGGGCTGCGACATGGTGGGCTTCCACATCCAGGACTACTGTCTGAACTTCGTCGACTGCTGTCAGAGGTGTCTGGGTGGTCGAGTCGACAGGAAGAACCTCCTGGTGGACCACGGAGGCCGGACAGTCAGAGTGAGACCACTGCCGATTGGAATTCCCTTCGACCGGTTCGTTTCTTTGGCAGAAGCCGCGCCAAAGGTGATCATGACCAACTTGAAGATTGTTCTTGGCGTGGACCGGCTTGACTACACCAAGGGGTTGGTCCATCGGCTGAAGGCCTTCGAGATGCTGCTAGAAAAACACCCAGAGCACCGCGAGCAGGTGACCATGCTGCAGATCGCTGTGCCTTCGAGGACTGACGTTAGAGAGTATCAGGAACTCAAGTTGGAGATGGAGCAGTTGATCGGGTCCATCAATGGAAGGTTCACTACGCCCAACTGGTCACCAATTCGCTATATTTATGGGTGTGTTAGTCAGGATGAGCTCGCTGGGTTCTACAGAGACTCTGCTGTTGCTCTGGTTACTCCTCTTAGAGACGGAATGAATTTAGTGGCCAAAGAATTCGTTGCTTGTCAGATTAACACTCCACCGGGTGTTTTGATCGTTTCGCCTTTTGCTGGGGCTGGGGAAATGATGCATGAAGCTCTGATTTGTAATCCTTATGAAATTGATGAAGCTGCTGAGGTTATTCACAGGTAATTTTTTATTTTAATGGGTTTTTTTTTTATCTGAGACTTTATCATAAAAAAATTGACTTTTTTTTTTTGGTAAATATTTACGAGTGGGGTCATTTTTGAACAAAATTTCTATTTGATTTTTTTTTTTTTAAATACATAAAAAAATAAATAATTTAAAAGAAATTGTTTATTACAATTTTAACAGATTTTCAAAAAAAATTATAAATTTTTTTGAAAATTGTGATTTTCAATTTTTTTTTTTTAATTGTTCGTTTCTTTATGTCCTTTTAAAACAAAATTAAGGTAAAAGACCCAGTTATTGACACTGGCCTAGTTGTTTGACACTTGCAATTTTATTATAATTAAAGAAAATAAAATTTTCTCAAAAAACCAATTATCTTAAAATTTATAACTCAAAAATTATATTTATTAATTTATCAGAGTTGATTTGTGTTTTTTTAATTAAATTAAAATAAAATTGCAAGTGTCAATAGCTAGGTTAGTGTCAATAACTGGATCTTTTACCTTATATCAAAAAAAGATAAATAAGTTATGGCCCAAAATGGGTTTGAACCCACTTGTAAATAATTACCTTTTTTTTTATTACTTTATTTTTTGTTAAAAAATAAATTTTTCTTTTTGTTAGTTTATTTTTTGTTGAAAAATATTTTTTTCTTATTTATTATTTTATTTTTTGTTAAAAAAGAGAATTGTTTTTTTTTATTATTTTATTTTTAGTTAAAAAATAATTTTTTTTAATTATTCTATTTTTTATGGATATAAAAAAATTCGTAAAAATATTGCGAATATTATAATAAACCAATTTATATATTTTATAGAGCTCTGACAATGCCAGAAGATGAACGTACACTACGTATGAATTATTTACGTCGCCGTGAAAGAATATACGACGTCAATTACTGGATGAAATCATTCTTACAAGTAATGGGATCATTGGAGGAACATGACTCTGTAGGCGCGACCGTAATGCAGCCTGTTACGATGGATGACTTTGATGATTATTTAAGCAAGTAAGTCTCAATGCCTATATGGGTAATTGGGCCCGACCAGCTATGGGGCATTATCATCATCATAATCATACATTACATAATTTTTATTATTTAATAAGTTAAGTATAAAATCCCTTTTTTAGTCAGTAAAAAATAAAGTAGTAAAAATAAATTCGTACTTTATTTTGAACTTACAAAAAAAAAAAAAAATACCTTCAACTTATTAATGATAAAAAAATTAATGCACGAAAAAATAACGATGAAAAATTCATTATTCATTATATTATTAACATAAAAAAAATTAATAATAATATTTATTTTATAAAAATAGATAATTCATTACACAGAACTTTGTTTAGTCTATAATGAATAAATAAGAGCGAGTATGAATCGAGCATGAGTTGGGTACGACAACGCGTGGGTTATTTAATGATAAAAAAAATAGAATTGCATGATAATGGGAATCATTATCAATACATTGCTATAAATTTTTAAAAAGCGATCGACTTGTATGAAACTTGTTTAAATGCTTTTGGAAACGGTGGGCCCGGGCACGCTGTCGCGACCTGACTCATAATCAAAGCCAAGTAACAATCCAGTGACCACACATGTCCCCTAGGTACATTGGTGATGATCATAAATTGGCGCTACTGCTTGACTACGACGGAACTCTTGCCCCAATAGCGACCCACCCTGACTTGGCTATTCTACCTCTGGAGACCAAGAACGTTCTCCAGCGACTGAGCAACATGCCTGACGTCTACATCGCTATTATTTCTGGAAGAAACGTTAATAATGTTAAATCGATGGTGGGCATTGAAGGAATAACGTATGCCGGTAATCATGGTCTTGAGATTCTTCATCCTGATGGCAGTAAATTCGTTCATCCTATGCCCGTTGAGTTTGAGGGTAAGGTTGGAAATTTAATGCAACTTCTTCAGGACCAGGTCAGTTTTTTATTCATTATTCATATTAGTTTTAATATAAATTTTAATTTTTTGATAAATAATATCTAATTATAAATATTATTTATTTTACAATATTTATTAATTAGAGATTTTTTTAAATAGTTGCTATCTATATTTATTTAGATAAGAAATTAAATTTAAAAAAATCTAATTAAAATTTGGTGAACTATTGACATTTTTAAAGATATAAGCTCATCCTGATGTTACACTCATCAAGACTTTTCATTTAAGTACCCACATCATTTTTTCATATATTTTATATATTTATATATATGAATATATGAAAAATATATCAAAATGCATGTGGGTACTAAAATGAAAGCTCTTGATGAGTATAACATCGGGATGAGCTTATATCTTTAAAAACGTCAATAGTTAAGAAAGTACAGGGCATTTTAACAAATATCTTGTGAGCTATTGACGTTTTTAAAGATATAAGCTCATCTCGAAGTTACATTCATCAAAACCTTTCATTTGAGTACCCACATCAATTTTTCATATATTTATATATATGTGTATTACATATATGTAATATATATTACATATATGAAAAATATATCTAAAATTCAAGTAGGTATTCAAATGAAAGCTCTTGATGA